GCTGAAATGTAAGGTCATCTGACGACTAATGAAATGAGATTTAAAATTAAGTAGCTATCTTTGGTTTTTTTTCATAGCTTCACTGTTTTACAGTTGCCTACAGGTATTCTGCTTTCATATTAATACATAAAAACATTTTTTGTTTTCTGTAATGCATAAAGATGGAAGTCTTTGCTTTGAGAAGGTTCAGAATGTCTAGACTTATTCTCCAGCACTTGTTTGTTTTGGATTGTACAAAAATGTCGAATGAGCAAATGGATAACTGTAAAAACAAGAAAAAGGGGAAAACTGTAATATTCTTACAGCTGGGATTCAAGAAAATTACCAAAAAATTACAGAAATCTTCTTAAAAAAATACAGTAATTTCAAATGCCACTTTTAATTTTAAGTGAAATCTTGTATTTAAAGTTTTTTTTTTTTATTATTTTAAAAAGGTTACTAATGTTTAGGAATGTTCTCTTTATAAAAAATATCAAACAGATCATTAATATACTGACAAAAATATAGCACAAATTTTAGGATATATCTATATCTATAAATATCTATCTATATAGATATAGATATATAGATATATATATAAAGTAATACCAGTGAGCATTCATTGCAGTTTCACCAAAGTCCAGTCTTCATTTGGCTTTTTGGATACTACATGTATGAGGGTAAACTCTGAATTCAATACTAAACTTCTTCATGGTTTGCATAATTGTTTTATTATTATAAAGAATATCGACCTAGACTTACTTTAATATGTATTACACACATTACGTTTCTATCATGAATGGGTTTGTTGAACTGAAAACAAATGAATTTTAACTTAATGCATGCTGGGAAACAGTAAATATCTGTGAAATTAATATGGAATTGTAACTATTTTAAGTCTTTATGTTTAAAAAGGGAAATCTTCTTTAAAAACTAAGAACTTCATGGTAATTCAGAGCTAAAGCAGTTATTTTAATCTTGGCATGTAGTTCCACAGTATAGTCCATCCATCCATTATCTATACGGTTTATTCCGGGATGTGTTTGGACTGTGGATGGAACCTGGAGCACCCGGAGAGAACCCACGGGACTCGAGCCCAGAATCTTCTATAGCTGTGAGGTGATAGTGCTAACCGACAACTGAGCCACTGTGCCGCCCGCAGTATAGTTTAGTAATTTTAATTACCAAAATCTGTAAACTAAACAGGAAAGTTCTGTAAAACTATGAGTTTTTTCTTTTACAGTGCAGACTACATGGAAGAAAGTAACTAATTTTGTAATTAGTTTATGAATATTTCAGCTGCTGCAAAATGCTCAAAGAATCTCTGCAGCTGCATCCTGAACTGACTGTTTAAACATCTGTTAAAATCATTGAGAATGACTGATCCATGAAGCTGCCATGTAATAAAACAGCATTCACTCACTGGCAATAGGCCTGAAAAGATAACATGTCCTAAAACATGCACAATTCATATTGGTCTTTAGCAGTGAGATTAAAACTAGAGAGTATCTGGCAGATCATCACACACAGGCAACAACATGAAAAAAAAAATTATTTCCCAAGGGGGGTGTAGTTATTTTGGTGGGTAATAATTGCTGCGAACCAAGGGCTGTTGTGGAAACCTGCCAAGAGCTGTCCATCACACTAGTCAAACTGAGCAGGACTGCTGTGTTATCATATGGCCAAACACACCTGAGGGGAAAACAGCTCCACAGCGTGACATAAAAAAACAGGGCTTACAAACATCCTGGGAGGTTAATTTGCAGAGAGAGGACGAGAAAAAACAGGCACCAACCCACAGGAAAAAAAAAAGCAAATCAGGAGAGGCAATGGTGATATGAGGACACACAACCAAGCCTCCCATTAATGTAATGACTTTTCTACAATTAAGTCAGACCACGATCATCTAAAATGTTCTTTGTTTTCTAGTTTGCTAATGTTCCTTATTTTCAAGCACAACTGACCCAAAAATCACTACATGTTGGAAAAAAGTTGGAAACACATCCTGCTGTAGAAGCTGCTTTTAATTTTACCGGTTTGTTTGTTTAATTCTAATGGCTTTCTTTATTAGAAACACCCCCACCCCCCCACCAGCAACAGTACTTTTGTGCACTGTGAGAAATGCATTTAAATCAAAACTCTGTTGTCTTCACAAACAACAGCCGACCAAACTTTCCAGGAGCCAGATCACCGGTCCTTCAGGTGATTAATCAGGTGCCGGGACCCTGCTCACACTCGTCAAACAACAACTGATTCTAAAATGAGCCGAGCGCGATTGATGATTAGCTAGAATCAGGCCAAATCTATACAGTGTCTGCTCAGCCAAGAGGTGCTGCTGCTGCCTTAACACACAGGTGCCGTAAAGTTAAAGTGGTGCGAGATCCGCTGTTATCCTCAGGAAGATATTCAAATTCCCAGCAGCCTTGCTCAGTGGGAGAGCTCCCAGAGGCTTACACTGCACAAATGTCAGCGATAAAGGGATGGGAAAACACATGAAGCAGCAACACTTGACATTTACTGTCAGCTGCGTTCGGTCTGCTAACTACGCTGCTCCTTAAATCATCTGACCTTTAAGCTTCTTGGTTTTTAAAAAGAGGAGCAGCTCGCTTTTTCTCAAAATTTGCAAATGCTATATTTTAATGATTAAGGGTAATATTTTGCTCTTTGTATTATAAACTTTGTTGCATACAGTATATTAGATCTAATATTTTAATAATTACGTTTTCTTCAGAAACTCTTGAAACTCAGAAAGGTCATGAAACACAGGAAGATGGAAAAAGCCAGAAACAGGACGTTACTGAATATAAGACGGTAGTGAAACACATCAAGTGGCTAATTCAGCTCCTGGACAAGAGAGATTTTGGCTGGTGGAGGAAACTGATCAGCACCTACAGTTTGTGAATCCACAGATACAGCAGCGTTGTTAAATTACTTCATGTCCATTCGTCCATCTCTCACATTATCATTTACATTTTACTCATTGACAAAAAATGTAAAACATTTTGTCATAGTTCTCGTTATCAAACATCAGTTTTCATTTAGTTTCCACTTCTGTTGGCGAATATTTTCCATCATCGTTTTCGTTAACGAAGTCAAACACTCCTTTTACATCTAAGACAGTACACAAGGGGATTACTGGCTCTGTAAAGTTGCTGAAAAGTCAGCATTGCTAAACTTTAAAAAACATACCAAATGGACTTGAAGACAAACCTTTTCCTCTGATTTTTGGGGAATGGTTAGAATTTCTTCAGACCTCAAACAAACTGTCTTTTGATTTTGTGCTTTTCTCTTCAAAAAGGTCAAATTCTGGCATTACGGAGACCTTTAGGATCAACAACTGACTAATCATCTAGATGAAGTTATGCTGTATTCAGGTCACACAGGAAAGGAAGAATACAGACTACTTCCTACTTGAAATTACAAAGTCTCCTCATCTCCAACATGACCTTCTTTGACTGCACAATTATGGTGTTCAAAAATGCCTTTAGTCAAGCACAGAGGACATTTCACCTCAAGTAAGAGGATCAGTGTTAATATATTTAATGGTCTCTCAAACTCTTACAATCCTAAAACGCATCTTAATTTTTTCTGGGTGGCTTAAATTGACTTGTTTTTAAACTAAGGACACACACACACACACACACACACACACACACACACCTTATCCAGGGACTGGATCTGCTGTTTCTGTCTTTCATCCAGGGCCTGGCTCTGGTTCTGCAGGGCCTCCCTTTCTTCTTCCACCCTCAGCACCTTGTCCTTCAGCCGGCTCCGCTCATTGTCCAGGTCCCTGATGACTGCTTCCTGGGTCATCTGGGTAGCCTGCAGGCTGCTTATCTGACCTATGACAGGACACACACACAAACTGTCGTCAGCAAATTTCAAATTGTAACTGGATTTACTTCTGTCATTCCTGATAATCAGGCTGAACCAGATCAGACACTGGTCCTATCCATGTTAGATCATTTTTTACTGGGAGAGGGGGGGTTTTTTCAAACTAACCAGGAGCAAGTGACGTGTCTACCACCCTGCACCATTTTCAGACGACACAAAAGTTGCAGTAGAGGTTGTTTAGAAATGTTTTCCAGGATTGACAAATAACTTTTTTAAAGAGTTATTCTTGTAAATCCACATACAACCACCTCTACAGCTCTGTCAATCTCATCCACGTCTGTTATCATTTCTGTGTTTACTTTTCATGGATGTAGTTAGGTAGTTAGCAAACTGTGCAGTGAGATGATGTCAGCATTCTAAGGTCTCTTGTGGCAGGAACAGTTGCCAGTGAGTACAACATCAGACCTGTATCAGCTGCTAAACAAATCGAAGATGTGGGCGGTGATTCACAAGTCTGGAACCAGGCTAAAATTAGCTGGCCTCAAAGGATAATTCCAGCTTATTACAACTTGGATCTCATTTTTGTAGTTTTGCCCATAGTTTCATCAGTTATAGTAACAATCTGCTAAGGAAGTTGAGATCCTGAAACACAGCAACGCTGCCAAAACATAAGTGCAATGGGACAAAAAAACACAAGCAGTCAGGTAATGAACCAAGTTTTAAACAAACTCCCAGGGTAGCAAAACTGGTTTGAAAGAAAAAAACTAAGACAAACAGTAAAATTAGAACCCAGGTCCATCACAGTGTGGAGACTAACGTTTTAGTTTAACGATACCACACACGCAACAATAACCTGTACATGTCTGTTCTCTGCGGTGAACGATTACTAACCCACTTTTGGTTTTATCTCCAAATCAAGTGGTTAAGATAATTTGACTGAACTTTTCGTGTCATTACATCATTAAATCCTTAATATAGGCTATAACCAACACTTTCAACCTAACAAAAGCACCAAAAACAACTCTTTGGTCCCTTTACAGTTTAAATTACCAAGGACTTACTGAGCCGCACTAGCTACATTAGATAGATGACTTTATTGAGTTCTAGGTGGTAAATGCAACTCGCACAGCTGTATTTACCAGTGGGATCTTACTGTCTCTTTCATATGAAAGCATCTCCAGAAAAAACATACTCTCATTTAGCAGGAGGAGCTCATAGGACCTAATGGGCCGAACATAATTCTGCGTTAAGTTGCATTCATTGCTCACACATTTCAGAATGTAATGTTAAGGCAATGCTGTTGTGCAAAGCACGAACAGGAAGACATCAGGAAATATTAAATCTGATTCTAACATGCTGTGATTCACCCACCACAAGTGCACACACACACATCTTAAACTGGGCATAACTGATGTGAGGGGGTTGTCCTCTGCCTCTCTGAGACTGGGAACACTCTCAGCTTGGTTACACAGCAATATGCCATTAAAGTGTTTACAGTCCATATGTTTGCATGACAGGGACAGTTCATGTCTTTCCTTAACCTGGATGCAAGCAGAAAAGGAAAGAAGTCTTACTGGCTTTGAGCAGTATTTCAGTTGCTTGCTGCTGAACTCGATCTCTGGCTGCCTCTAGTTCACACTCCGCCTCTTTCTGACGGATCTCCACAATCTCGGAGTTCTGGGTCACTTCGTCCAGCTGCTTGTTTAAGTCCTGGAGATGAATCAAATCGACACCAAAGAGAGGAAACAAAAGAAAATTCTTTCAACACAAGGCGGCCACATCTGACTTCCATGAGAAACACTGACTAGAGAGAACAAAGTCACTGAACTCTAGAAAGGAATTCAATTAAACTGCCTTAGAAAAAGAAATGCACTCGTTATAATTTACCCAATTTTTAAGTGATTCTTGCACATGAACTGATCGAAGTATCTCACTGTCTTTACATGCACAATCAGCTGTCATCCCTGATTTTTAGCTATAGTTGTGTGTACTGTATGTCGAGCCAACAGTGTGACTGAGGTGTCAGACATCTCAGGTGACCATAGGTTGAAACATACTGGTAGCATGTTATTCATACTAAGGATCAAATATGTAAATGCTGACCGCTGCTCAGTCAGTAAGAACTAGACGTCAGGGAGGGATTTCATGTGCACACACACATGAACACACAGAGCAGCAGTATGTGATTTAGGACCTCATGAGAGCAATTTCACAACTATCAGTCCCATCAAACGATTGGCCCCAAACTTCATTACTGCTACGACAATGAAAGCTCAGTGAGATTATAACTGCTGAGGGGTCACACTCAGATCAGACTTGGTGTGTGTGTGTGACATGTTGTCCTTCTTGTATATCTTTGCAAGGACCAAGCTGGGATTTAGGCCTTAAGGGTTACAACTGTTTTAGAAAATACTTGGGCAACAAGCACTCAAACAGCTATAGGAACAATTTTTAGCTGTGGACCAACACACACTTGTGGGTATATCCAGCAGCAGGACAGTGTGTGTGGCTTGCCTAAGACTAAACTACGGTGTGTATATTCATGATAATGAAGGAACATGTCACCCAGTGTTTTAATCGTTTTTAGACAGCTATAGATATCTAAGGCACAGGAGAACAAGACATCCACTATCAGGCTTTGGATACACAGACAATAGCTGTTAGTAGGATCAATATATACAGTGATGTTATTGACAATAGAAGAGTTTACTTTGGTGTTAAAATTAAAGCTAGGTTTAAGTTACGATAAGGGTAGCTTGAAGATTGGTGTCAGATACAGTAAGGTTTGCATTAACGGCTAAGGCATACACTCCACCAATCAAGGTCTCCACACGCACACAATTAAGTGTGTGTGAGGTTGGAGAGGTAAAAATAGTTGTCTGCACTAATAGAAGAATCCCTTTGTTACCAACATTTAGTCATTACCTCTGATTCAGCTATCATATTTAAACACACACACACACACTCCCCCACACACAGCCTCACTCCTGTCAGTCATCCTTATTGGACCTGAAATCTGCATTGCATTTGAATATAAAAGGCCCCAAAAACTGTGATGATTTATTGTTTTATCTTGCTAAAGGCTTCCATCATCCACTCCAGATAGGTTTTACCTGAGAGTGAAGTATTTAGTCCACAGACAGTGACAGCAGCAATTTAACACAGCTTCAGTGGAATTATACACTTGGGGGATAATTTGTATTTGTTGGCATGGATATTCCTACGGAAGCTGGTGAACAGGCAGCCATTAATTATGCTTGTCTCAGTTACTCCAAGCCATCATTTGCTTACATTTCTTTGGAGGCTTGCCTAGTAAATCATAAGCTCAATGAGGATGACAGGGAACACTGAAGCAAGGAGCTGCACCATCTTTACACCACAAGTGCTTTACACTGGTGTTAAGTCGAGACTAAAATGAAGCGTGCCGGAACAGTAATTAGCCTCCTGAGATGAGGGAACATTTTGATTTGATGCAAGATTTTAATTTCCCAAAATTGTTTAGAAAATAACGAGTTTTTAAAAAGTCCAACCAATTTGTGATTAATCGCAAACTGGCTATGGGCAATAATGCGATTAATAACAAATGGGTATTTTAATCGACTGACAGCACTAATAAATACTAAAACGGACACGATCAAATGGTTTCTTTTGTCTTATATCAAATGAGAGAATCTAGAAAAGCTTCCAATTGAAATTGGTTTTCATGCTCTGTTCTGTTGCCCTGTTGTTTCTTTATCTGGGTAACAGTTAATTACTCTGATAACTAATGAAATTATTAACTCCAGGCACAGTACAGCCACTGAAAGAGGGACCCTTTCCTGTCTTCTGTGCAGTCACTGATAAATTCACACAAACATCAGACTTCAGAGCAAATTGAAACAACAAAACCGACCTACTTACTGTAACAAGTTCCCCCGGAGCACATGTCAACTCTATTTTCAACGGCGGAGATGATCATGTGAGTCTATTTGAAACTTGCACAGCTCAGAAAGTACAAATTCAAAATAAAATAATACTACAGAAATAACAACAGTATTGCTATTTGTAATCCTGGAAGAGTGTGTGATGACGTTTTTCTGAGATGGCTTTGGCAGCCCAGAGGAAATCTTCAGATGCCTACAGCTACATTTCCTACCTGACAAACTAATCCTATTGGTGTAGCATCTAAGCACTGATTATTAAAGATTTTTTGCATCTTCTTTACATAATGAAATCGATTCCTGTGTAAAATGTAACACTTTTTAGATTCTGTATACAGTTAAGCAGATCTATACAACGTGCACTTTGCTATGGATTAAATTCAAACATTAGCTGAGTTTCCAGTGACCTCTCTCTGGATATTGAAAGCCTGCAGTTGTTACAGTCAAAAACTGGCTCAAGCTCAGGAATTGGACAAGTGACAGATGTGTCTACTCTATGCAATTTAAGACTTTATTAAATTACAGGACATTCTGGAACTGTTTCACCATCCTCATGCTGTCATGTCTTTTACAGTTCTGTTATAACCACAGCATGTGACTCAAAAGAAGGCGATGTGTTTGACTCAGCTGTCTGAGCTTCAGACTCACCTTGATGGTGCTCTCAGCAGCACTGAGTGACGCCTGAAGCTTGTGGGACCGCTCCCGGTTTTCCCGGGCTTCATCTGTTACCCTCGCCAGCTCGGTTCTCAGTTTCCCGAGGGTTTTCTGGAGCGCCGCCTCCTGAGTCTGAAATTCCCGCCGCAGCTCGGCCTCGGTGCGTTTCCATGCCAGCAAGTTGTCGGCGGTCAGCTGCTGGGTCCTCTTCATGGCCTCCAGCTCGCGTTCATAAAACGCCTGAGCCTGGAAACATACACACAGGTGTGAAACTATCCTAAATCCAAAAAGCTTTTCACAGAAATTTGGGCTGCATTTTGTACAGCTTGAAAAGCTTCCAAGTCAAAATGCAATGTCAAACTCAAACAATCAGTTTAAGTGAAAGCTGAAGTCTAAATGATTTGGCCGACAGAGTGAAGATATATTTTATTGAAATGTGCTTTGAAATGTGGTGCTTACAACGTGCCATTCTGCACATTACTTTCAGCAATAGAAGTGGCAATGAAGGTTATCTTTTTTAAACATTACTTATTCACAGACGTTTAGCAGAGCCTAAGGTTCCAGATGAGATACTGGGTGTAACTGATCACAGAAAACAAATGTATACATTTTGAAGCTTTTAAAAAACCTTTAAAATGTTATTAAAACTGATGCTTTCAACATGAATTCCTAATTAAAATTCCAAATTTTTATCCTTAATACTAACTCAGAGGAATGTCAGTCAGTTTTAGTCTTAGAAAACAACAACACTATGGGCCAGAATATTTCAAATACATTTGCAAAAATACAAGCTGAAGTTTATCATATGATATGGTGCAAGTCAAAGTCCATCAGCATGCATTAATTACTTTTATAAATGTATTTTCTTTTTAAAACATAGCTGTTTAGACCATTGCACAGATGCACTTGGAACAAGATACAGTACAAGCAGCAAACGCCCTCCACAGTAGCTGTAGTACCTTGCTGAGTTTGGCCTCATACTCCTCCACCAGTCTCTTCTTGTCTTGTTTGAGCTCCTCCACCCGCTCCGTCAAAGAATCCACCTGTAGCAAATCAGTATAACATGTGAAGAACAGTTTGTCTTTGAGAGTTTCAAACAATCAATAAGCAGTCTTAATACTCAGCAGTTTGGTAATGAGAGATAAAACTACCTCAAAACATACACAGTGCTTCCTGACATCTGTGGTATAATGCCACAGGCCTTATATAAACACTTGGCCTGCTGTTAGGTACATTAGCTCCTCCACTGCTCCTCCAGAGCTAATGTACCGTGTTAACCAGGTTCACTGGCATGTACATAAACAGTTAATAGCCAAGTAATCACTTCTGTCCCAGTTTCTTCTGGTCTTCCCTGTAGTGATTCAGGTTGTTACTTTGGCTTTCAGGAGCTGCTCTACTTTTGCAGGAGTTGGTGTACTACCTCGGCTTTATGGAGCTGTCCCAGTTTCTCCTGGTCTTTACTGTAGTTTGCGCTTTGGCTCTGGTGGCTGCGGAGGAGCTCCTGGATTTCCTGTCTGTGCTGGGCCTTCAGCTCCTCCAGAGCAGTTTTCTTCTCCTGCTCAAACTGGGCTTGGGCCTGGCTGAATGTACGCAGCTTCTCTTCAAAAGAACGGCGCATCTCCTCCACCTCCCTCGACATGGACACCACACGCTGCGTGTGCTGCCAAAGAAGACAGGGACAAAGGGGTGAGCTCACAGGAGGACCGATTGATTTATGGGCCTGTAGGTTTCTTACACAGTGGGTAAACACTTTTAAAAAGGTGACATACTGGTCAGGAGAATTTGACCTTCTGGCTTCCAACCTGCCTGCTCTAAATTAGCAATGAACCAGCAAAGACACTACACAGAAGCCAAGCATTTAAACAGTAAACTATAGGGCAATGTCCAAATACAGCAAAACAACCCTCATCGATTTAGCGTGGCAGTATCAATCAGACACCCACTGACACCGATATTCAATACTGATTATTCAACTGGTGGTCTCTAAATTCACTGAAGTAGGTGAGGCAAATAAACATTTCTCAGCGACAGATTTACATATAGACTTTAGCATAACATAAGGAGGAACCAAGCAAAATAACTGTTGCTTCTGTTTGAAGCGTATGGTTATACTGTTTAATTTGGACCCACACCAATCAGAAACAAGTATTCTGTGTGGGCGTGGAATAAACAAAATATACAACATAGAACTGAACAAACTCTTTTGAACTCTACACAGTGTGTTAAACCACTTCTGGATTGTATCTGGACACTGGACACAGGTGGGTAACAGGCACACACAGGGCCTGAAGGAGCTCTGATCACTGCTACACAACAAGTCAGATGTCTAGACCAAACAAAGAGGTAATGCCGACAAAGCGAGACTCTCCAGCCTCACTGCAGGACAGGGGAGAAACATTAGTCCTGATAACCTGCAGCTGTCACTGATGCATCCACACACACACACAGCACACTATTCCTCCACCTACCTGAGCTTCAGTGCAAAGCTGCATGTCCTCCACCCTCTGACGGTAGTTCTCAAACTCAGCCAGCGCCTGTCTCTTCATCCTCTCATGGAGCTCCATAGACTCCTCCAGCGACTGAATGCGGCGCTTCAGGTCCATCTCATCGCTGATCTTACTCTTGTACTGCAACAAACGTGTAGGGTTCAGTTAGACGTACCGTACCCTCCAATTTTATTGTTTTAATAATGTACAGTTTTTGGAAATGTTTAATCTGCACCTGTGTCAATACATATACAATCATAGGATACATGTGCCCCACTAAAGGGGCAGTAATTAGAAAATCCTTCATTGACATTTTTAGATATTCTGAAAATAACCCAGCCAGTGAATAAACATTATGGGTTTCAGCTTTAAATCAATTTCCATTTTTAAATATATTGACTGGCATGTATAGACTTTATATATGCCCTTGGTTTGGCTCATTATGATACACAAATTAAAAGATTAAATAGGCACCTTCAGTTCCGTTTATTACAGTAAAGCTTAGCCTACCGGCAGACTGTAGAGTACAATACATAATAAATAACTGCAGCTGTTCAAGGTTAGTCACTGGTTAGTTGCTGTCACAGAAGCAAGTAACTCTCATTAGGACTGAGTAATTAATATTCGGTTGATTAAATTCCATTGGGTTTTCTCTGAATGTGTCCTCAGCCTCCATGTGATGGTGTGCAGCGACAGCACAGAGGAACAGTGCAGTTTATTGTACAGCTGTTATAGATGAGTCTAAGATAAACACTTTATCATCTAGACTGACTGACCTGAATAATGACTCTTGGTCACCATGGTGAGCCAATTTGCATGTCTGAAATCAATGCTCCAAAAGGAATCAAAGCCCACTCACATTCAAGCCAAAGTCTACAAAGCTTCCCTCTACTAATTAATCTATTGGACAGGGAAAAACGTATTTATAACTCACGAGCTGTCAGTTATTCCAAAGGTAGTTATACTAATTTAATTATTCCTCCCAGAAAGCTGTGATTGATTTCATTACTTATTTAAATTAGTGCTTATCAACACCCACAAAATCACTCTTCACTTGAAATGTCTGCAAGTGAGTTATTCCATTTTACAGAAGAGGATTAAGGCCACTGGACAAAATTTATTTGAATTCTGACTTTAAACTCAGACTTTTGAGGGGAAAAAAATAACTAATTAATTAATTAATTAAATTTTGTCCAGTGGCTCTAATCCTGTTTCGTGCCATCTAAATGTACGAGAAACCAAAAATGTGTGGTACCCAGTGTCCCCCTTTCATTTAAACTGAATACTCATTAAGGATGTAACAATACTTGTGATTTCTTGATATCGTGATAGAAAAATTTCTCAATACATTAGTGGGACTATGACGGTTTCTATGACAGTTTCTACCACAATATTACATATGGTCATTTCACTAGTGTAACTGCATTCACGTCGCAGAATTTGAACCTGACATAGCGGTTGCTCCATTGTGGACTTTTAGAATTGTTGTGTGGCAGCATTTCAGTTTTTTCGTTTCAAAAAATGATACGAAACAAAAGGAAAAACACTGAACAAATTGCTAATCTCACCTTTATTTAGCTTGTCCTAGTAGTGATGTGTCGTTCACGAATGATTCATTCATTTTGAACGAATCTTTCCCATGACCTGAGAACATCGGGTCGTCTCAGGGAGTGATTCGTTCATTTTGTGTTGACCGCACATGCGCAACATCGCATTAGATTAGTACACTTTACGAGTCGTTCATTTTTGTAACGTGACATGACCGCTTTGTTGGATACAGAAATTAGTTAATTTTCAACCATCCTTACAGTTTTTTTACTCTTACTGTTACATGATGCATTTATTTTTATTATAAAATAGCTTTTCATTTCCTCCAGACTATAATTTTGTGAATATCTGTCAATATGGTTCTTTTCCATAACACTGAATGTTTTAATAAAAAGTTGGTTAATGGTTTAAACTTCATCAGGGAAAGTCTTTCTGTATACTATACAGAAGACCACGGCAGCTTAGCTTAGGATGTTACGTGACAAAAGACCAAACGAATCTGACCCAGAATATCCGGAGGTGAGGTGATGAAGTAACAGACTGCATCGCCTCAAGACACAGGTACGATATTACTTGTAATATGACCTTGGCTGCATTACAGTTCTTTCTTATTCGAAACGTGATCAATATGTGCGTAAGTAGATGGGGAATTAACATGTAACATTTTAATTACATTCTGCTGAAGTGAACGAAATGACTCGAAAAACGATTCGTTCATTTTGCTGAACGAGATTCAACGAACCGAATCAGTAAAATGATCCGAACTTCCCATCACTAGTGTAGATTGTCGTCTTCTTCTCCTCATTCTGTTACGCCAAACAGCAATTTGCTCACTACTGCCCCCGGTGGTCGGGGAATACCCGCTTCAACTGGTCCACTGACATTTAGGACCTAACCATTGGTCGGCACAGCCACCAAATAGAGAAGGTTAAACCTGCCTGGGGGTACTAAAACACTGATGTTCCACTGTGAGTGTGTCTGCTGCATTAGTATTTTTTTTTTCATAAAAGGACAGTTACTGACTGCTGCATTATTGTTTGGTTTGCCATTGTACAAACACTTCATTCATTTAGTACCAGTGACAATTCATGCCAGTTTTTTTGCACATGCTTAGGTAATGGCTGAAGGAAAGCAGGAGCACTTCAGGATAAAAGGAAAAATCATATACAGTAAAACCACTGGATTGTTATTTAGTAAAGGACATTTTTCCATCTTTTTTCTTCATTTTTAATATCGTGATAAATATCGTATTGTGGAGTTTTTATGGAAATGTTGTACCGTGAATTTTTGGTATCGTTATATCCCTGATAATAATAATTACATGAAGAAAGTATTAAGACATTTTCATCAGAGTAGAAGGAATTCTCAAAGAACACTGGCTTTGAATTTAGGGGTGAGACAACAGTTTCTTAATGGCAACAACTAAAATAAAACAGACTATAAACCTGTAGTATCTTCTCTCTGGTCTCTGAGAGGATCTGCTGCACCTCCTCTTCGTGGGCCTCCTTCAGGGTGGTGATGGCTGCCTCGTGTTCATCGTTTTTTGTGTTCAGTGCATATATAACCTACAACAGAGAGGAAACAAACACATTAGCTGTGTTAGATATAATTACAATCAGGAATTAGAATATTAATAGTGGTGGGAGGCCAAATACAGCTCTCACAGCTTGGCTTCAAACAACATGAAATAGTAAGGAAACATGAATGTAGAGTCAACGGAAGGGAGGTATCAATGTCTTTAGAATGAAGATGCCAATGTTTAGTATCTGATTTATTTTTGCAGCATAAAAAAGGTTCTCATACAACATTTATAGCAGCATTCCAGTCCCCAAGAAACCCTCCATCAGTGGACTGAACGACTACAAATCTGTCGCCCTGACATCTGTAGTTATGAAGTGCTTTGAAAGACTGGTGTCGGCCCACCTGAAGGACATCATAGACCCCCTTCAGTTTGCCTACTGGGCAAACAGGTCAGTAGACGATGCAGTGAACATGGCACTGCATTACATCCTGCAACACCTCGACTCCCCAGGGACCTATGCACGTGCCCTCTTTGTGGACTTCAGCTCAGCATTCAACACCCTAATCCTGGACATCCTCCACTCCAAACTGACCCAGCTCACTGTGCCTGCCCCCACCTGTCAGTGGATTACTAGCTTTCTGATAGACAGGAAGCAGCAAGTGAAGCTGGGGAAAACCACATCCAGCACCTGGACAATCAGCACATGCCCCCCAGGGATGTGTGCTCTCCCCTCTGCTGTTTTCACACTACACCAACGACTGCATCTCGGAGGACCCTTCTGTCAGGCTCCTAAAGTTTGCAGATGACACAACCGTCATTGGTCTCATCCGAGACGGTGACGAGTCAGCCTAAAGACGGGAGGTTTAGCAGCTGGTGCTGTGGTGTAGCCACAACAACCTGGAGCTGAATACACTCAAAACAGTGGAGATGATGGTGGACTTCAGGACGAACCCCCCCACCTTACTCCCCCCTCAGCAGCACTGTATCAGCAGTAAAGTCCTACAAGTTCCTGGGCTCCACTATCTCCCAGGACCTGAAGTGGACATCCAACATCAGGACCATCATCAAGAAGGCACAGCAGAGGATATACAGTACTTCCTGCATCAGCTCAGGAAGTTCAACCTGCCCCAGGAGCTGCTGATACAGTTCTACAGAGGAATCAGAGTCTGTTCTCTGCACCTCCATCACTGTCTGGTTTGGTTCAGCAACCAAACAGGACAAGTACAGACTTCAGCGGACAGTCAGGACTGCAGAAAAGGTCATTGGTGTGAGCCTGTCCTCCATGGAGGACCTGTACACCGCATGGGTCAAAAGGAGGGCGGAGAGGATCACTGCAGATCCCTCACACCCTGGATACAATCGGTTCAAACTCCTCCCCTCTGGATGGCGTTACAGGTCACTGTGCACCAAGACAACCAGGCACAAGGACAGTTTCTTTCCCCAGGCCATCACATTAATGAACACTTGACCCACGACAGTATGACTGGACAATAACCCTCAGTGCAATACCTGTGTATATATACATTGTACAGATTATACAGATACATGAAAGAAAGTCACTTTCGGCTTTTCCCGTTTAGGGGTCGCCACAGCAAATCATCACACTGACGACTCGCATGTTGACATTTGGCACGTGTTTTAATGCCGGATGCCCTTCCTGACGCAACCCTGATTCGAACCCGGGGCCTTAACCACTAGCCTGCCAGGGACGGCTAGAGTATACATATCCAGGTCTCTATTTTCAAGTACTCTGTTTTTATTCCTATTTATCTCATTGTCTGTCTGCATTGTTTACTGCCTGTTTATTTTGCATTGTTTGTTGCTTGTTAATACCGTTTATTTTGTTATATTACACACTCTTATGCTGGTTTACTGTTTACTTGCCTCTTGCATGGGGATATGTACATACGCATTGGGAGTCGATGTACCAGAGTCAAACTCCTCGTGTGTCTGACACACCTGGCCAATAAAGCTGATACTGACTATCATTATCAAGAATGTATTTATGTGAGCTAGCTTGTACTTAACCTCTAGAGTCCCTGCGTCCTCATATGAGGACCGCACAGCTTGGGTTTCCAAAGCTCAGGACTCTAGAGGTTAAAGTAGTGTTATACAAAATTATTACTTTGTATTATTTTTAAATAGTTTAATAAATGGATAATTTTGCACAAAGATGATAAAATGTCTGTGCGGGTTTCTGTTTCAGTGTCGCTGTGACTGCTGCCAGTGTTTATGCACACCAGAATACTCTTGTCACTGTTCACATTAATCATTTATTACACATTTTCTTCAAATCAGCTTACAGATGTAACGTAATGACGACATGAAGCCAGCAGAGAAGTGCTGGTACACAGCTGCATACAGTTTATTCTGCAGAAAAGCTTCTGGTCCATGCTGTGATGTAGCTAATATTAGCTCAGAGGCATCAGTGATGCCCCACAGTCATGAATTAGACATCGGTTGATGCCGTGTATTGCTGGGGATAAAAATATCACAAGCAAACTGTTGTGCATGAGATTGACCTTTAAAGCTGTCCAAAAAAATACATGCAGCCATTCAGAGCCATAATCTGACAGCACAGTGATCCTCTGCTCTCGGGCACACAGGGAGAGAGGACAGAAATGGGTTCAACATGTCCACATGAAAAACCATGAGGCACTCTTCCCCTGCTTCTCTCCCTGCTGTGAGGAAGCCATGTGCTGCCTCTTTGAAAAACCAAGTCAATAATTGTGCACACTGAACTGTACGATGGTGCTAAGGAGCCTTTGTTTACTGAGGACCCAGGTCCATCAACAGAATTAGAAGAGAGGAGAGAAAAAGGAGGCTTTCTTTGAAACAATGACATCCACTTTTTGTCCTGCTATGCCTTGCTGAAAGATGAAAGGATTTAGTTTGACAACTTAAATTCCTCTTTCTTTAGTCCCCACACGCTGGCTCTGTCTCTGCTGACAGCCACAGAGCTGTGCTCAGTGAGAGAACACACTTTATAATCAAAAGGTACTCAGCTATGGTAGTTATTCTCTCATTTGATGTTATTGATCTGCTAATGATAATATGATCATTTGTTTTTCATGCATTCTGCACATTACACATATAGTCAAAGTCAAGTTCAAGTTCATAGTGTTTATTTGTCATGTGCACGGTTAGGAAACGTGTTTCCCTGTACAATGAAATTCTTACTTTGCCATCCACATGAATGCCACAAAATACAAATGACATATAAAGTATATAAATCCGTCCATCCATTTTCTAAACCGCTTAGTCCCAAACAGGGTCACGGAGCCAATCCCAGCCAGCTGTGGGGTACACCCTGGACAGGTCGCCAGTCCACCATCGCAGGGCTAACACACAGACAAACAACCACTCACACACACAATCACTCCTACGGGCAATTTAGAGACACCAATCAACCTAAGCTGCATGCCTTTGGACTGTGGGAGGAACCCGGAGCACCCGGAGAGAACCCACACAAGCACAGGGAGAACATGCAAACTCCACACAAAAAGAACCTGAACCCTTCTCGCTGTGAAACCACCACTCCACCATGCCACCCCTAAGTAGATAAATAAGTAACACAAAATCTAAGGCACTTTAAGCAGCAAATGAAGAGATATAATAAAAATAACTTAGAATATAATGAGAATGTATACTACATTGGAGCAGCATGTGCAGCAGTCAACAGTCAATGTGCAATTATGCATGTATAAAATGAGAATGTAAACAGTACATGAAGTATTTCCTGGTAATAAACTCCTCAGCTGTTTAGGAGTCTGATGGCAGAGGGAAAGAAAGAGTTTTTCAGTCTAGTGGTCCTACATTTCACACTTCTGAACCTCCGGCCAGAGGGCAAAGAAGTGAACAGTCCGTGCTGGGGGTGGGTGGGATCTTTGAGGATGGAGGCAGCTTTCCTACACACCCTGCGGTGGTAAATGCTTTGCAGAGAGGGCAGTGGAGTCCTGATGATCTTCTCAGCAGTTTTTACCACTCACTGTCTGGTATGGCAGGGGGGCTGCTATGGACCGCAAGCGCCTGCAGAGATGCAGCTGGTCAAGATGCTCTCAATGATGCAGCTGTAGAAGTTGCAAAGGATCCTAGGCGACATATCAAACCTCCTCAGCCTCCTCAGGAAGTACAG